AATGCCTTCATAGTAATAAAACTAGCAGCCAAATAAAGAATTAAGCATAGTATTATAACTTACATTAGAGTTGGTATCCACTTTTATGTCAGTTGTGATGTTTTTGTTTTTCAGCTGGGTGGTAACGTCTGCCAGAAACAACTCGCCTTTCTTAGTTCCAGTCGATGTGATAGCCTGTAGGGAGAGAGAGAAAAAAAAAAAAAAACCAAATTGAATATGATAATAACACCCAAAACCATAAGAAAAATGATTATAGGTTCATCCAGATGCCTGATAACAATCCTGAGCTTATATGAGACAAAAATACTACTCATAGAAAACTCACAAGCTGATATTGCAAACGTTGAATAAAAACCCTGAGCCCCGTCGCCAGAAATCCCATTTCAACTACAATGGGAAACAATTGATATTCAATACCTACCAACTCACTACATTACCAATGCCGAGACTTCAACATGAGCATGTTTGGATTTAATCAAAAGTAAGTCAAAATCTTTAAGTTAATTATTTGATGAACATGATTCTCAAAGCTATCTTTCTTACTATCAAAACTTGTTTTTCTAGAAAAGTTATTGAGTACAATCAAACATGCTCAAGTTCAAAAATATGTAGAACTTCCACCACAGTTGCAGTAGCATTTATCGGCTGTTCAAATCTATAAATTCCTTGCAAGCCTCTATACATATGAATTTGCGAAGACAAACTTAGTATTACACTAGGAATTGTTTCAGAAACACTGCATAATATGGAGGATTAAATTATCCATTTTTCATACTTCTCAGCCTTTGCATAACTAATTAAAAAGACAATTACTTTCAACGTAATTAAAAGACAAACCAATACTCATTCAAAGGGGGAAATTAATGAGCAAAAAATTGTTATTCCCTGATAATTAAAAGGCATAAAAATATATGAATAACATAAGAACCATTTCTTTTCTCCAGAAACTGAATTTCGTTTCATAAATTTCATTACACTGGACCTTTATATACAAACATGGGCATAAGTATATAAATTCACAAATGATAAAATACCTAAAGAAATGTGCATTTTACTCACCACTCCATTTGCAGTGTAAGTAGTGATAGTGAATTTATGATCACCCTGATAATCCCTGTAAAGAAGATCTGAAAACCCACAAATATTATTTCATTAACATCAAATAAATACAATGAATTTTACTCAAAAAAGAAAAACGAAAAAAATTCATTCACCTATATAGATACATGTACAAGTATATATACAAACCCACATGGTTAATTACCTCTGGCTTTCTTGCCAATGTCAGAATAGAGGCCCGGACCCTTTGCCATCACCATTTTCTTATGCTTTGGCTAAAATAAAATGAAAAAGGAAAAAGAAAAAATGAAGGTAGAGAACAGATAAGAATGTTCTAGAGAGAGGGAGCAAGGAAGATTGTTAGTCGCCCTAGCTGGGTTGACTTTCACTGTTTATCGAGCTATTGTGATGGAGAAAATTACCTTTATGACCCTATTATATTTTGTTTATTTAAAAATTGGACTATTCTTGCATTTTCTCAAAAAAAA